CATGTGTGTGAAGACCCCATTGTAGTCCATGACAGCCTGAAGCACCACAGAGTGAAAGCCCCTCTGGCTGTAATAGGGGTGGTCTCTGTGGGGCAGGCAGGTGAGGAGATGTGGGTCCTGTCCAGGGCTCCAATGCACTGGAGGAATGCCAGAGCACAGAACCCTACCACCACTGCCAGGGGGTCATGCACTCAGAGCACAGTGTCTGCCAGCATGTCCTGAAGGGCGCTGCATACCTCCAGGACAGCTTCCATGGTTGTGGCCTTGTTCACGCCAAACAGGTGGCCAATGTACTGCAGGCCAGCTTCAGCAGGGCAAGGGCCAGGCAAGTGTCCGTGGGGAGAAGCAGCTGTGTGCCATCCTGGAAGGTGGCCCAAGTCATCCTGAAGGCCTCCAGCCATTTCTTGTTGTCTCAGGTGTGCTGGATGATGTGCCATCATCCTGGCAGGCCTGATGTGTCCTGGCTGGCCTGGCAGGCCCAGGGGTGGTGGGGCTGGATGCCCAGGAGGGTGATGGCCCTGGCAGTGGCATCCTGGAGCCTGTTGGTGGCATCCCTACTGGGGTCTGGGCAGGCAGATGGGTTGGAGGCAGCAGGTGCACAGTGGTGGACCTGGGATAGTGCATGATGGCCTTCCAGGTGGTTGCTGTGTGTGGAGGAGCTGGGAGGGGCGAGACGGTTGTGGGCCCTTCCACAGGCCCTTCCATGGGCAGGGGCTAGAGCAGTCATAGCATGGGGAGGCACAGGCAACAAGGAGAGCACTGCTGTGTGCTATTTGTACCCTTGGCATGCTGCTCCTGGCCAGGGAAGTGGCTGGAAGTGGCTGGTGAATGGGTCTGCTTTTGAGTTTTGCCAGCTGCTGGCAGCTGCAGCCACAGCCTGGAGCTGCCACCAGTGGCAACAGGGGCCCATTGCAGGGTCCTGGGAAGCAGAAGCAGGTTGGCAGAAAATTTGTTCCTGCTTCCCTGCATGTGTAGGTGCTAGTCCAGCATTGTTTACTCACAAATAATTTACTCATGAGTAAGCTGGTGCCACAGCAAATGCACGTGTAGATTTGTCCACTGTGCCATGTTTATTTCCAGATCATCCAAAGTGGCAAAAGGCATGCAGCGGAAGAACCTTCTTCTAAAGCCATTCAGTGAGAAGGGAGTTCATATAGAATAATAAGGCCACTAAAAGTCCTTGCAAGAAACAGGAGGTACATTGTATTTAAAATTGGAATAATGGTATGATAAATGATGCTCAGTTTCTTATACCTATATGTCTATTACTTTTGTTAAAACTACTTTTATATTAAAGATATGATCAACAGGAACAATCCAGATTAAAGGTGTCTGAATGTGTTAAGGAAACCACTAGAGTAAGAGCTTTGCCTAGCATCTTTCCTGCACTGATTGCAGCAATATTGCTAAGCCTGAATTAATCTCAAATCTACAGAATTGAATAAGTATTAGAACTATCAAATACTAATGATGAATGCACTATTCAGTTAATTTTACCATTTTTGCTGAATAAATTAGTTGACAAATAAGGGTAAAATTCATCAAATAAATTATCTGATGAATTTTTTTTTTAAGTAATTGACCAACTCTAATGAATATGCAGGCAGTTTCTTAATGAAAAGCATTAATCTACTGGCAGCCTGCTTTCATCACTCACATGTCATGTTTTTGTATTTTACAACTGCAATCTGTATATTTTATTCATTTACCCATTCATTTATACATGCAAAGTTCAAAACACTATGGTTAATCAATCACTGCAATTATTAGAATATTTCTATTCTACAGCTGATTATTCATTACAGTTAGCATTCCATTCCTGTATAGGGACACTTTAAAAAGAGTACGCATATATGGTAACACCTCTCTTAGGAAACTATCTTGGCTTCTACTTTTCAAGCCAAGTTTACAAGAACACTTTGGAAATTGTAGGCAGTCATTTAAAAGCCATTTTTGTAATTGCAAGCACCACAATTTCTAATTGTTGCCTGTATCTGAGCGAGGCCATGCCAGTGTCCCTGAAAACACACAACAGAAAGGGGAAAAGAAATGCACCAGTAATTTCTTGACTATATAGCACTATGATCCTCAAGGGTCTGGTGTCAGGTATCAGATATATATTTGTGATTACCAAAACATCTTAATAAATGATACTGACTACATTGATAAAGATCTTATTATTAAACTGAATTATATAGACAAGAATGCTACTACCTATGATACTTTCCTAGCCTGCTTCCAATTCTGGTATGCCAATTTCATAATAGTGGCGTCAAAAGGGCGAAATTGGAGAGGACACCAAGTCTGCACATCTTACCAGTTACTATAATGGTAAAAGTAGTGTCTTTACCTTTATGTTGGAAGAATTAGTTTATATTAAGCTGAACCTGATATGCTTCCCAGGCTACTTATCAAAAGTACAACAACACTGCATTGTAGTTAAACTATGTTCTTCATTTTGCATCCTTCCTATTACACAGAGATTATGATTGTAAAAGTGTACAAAAAAGGGAAAAGGTCCCAGGGTTATCATTATTATTTTTATATATTTTATCACTAAAGCTCATTTTTGTATTTGCTTCAATCATGCACACAGTTGTGGCATGTGTGTTTTTTTCCATTAAAGTCTGTGATAAACTCCATTTTCTATTAAAAAGTTTAAATTCTTGTTATAAATAATTTCTTCACACTTGCCTGCTTTGATCTAATCTGCAGTATAGTTTTAGTCCAAATGGTTGTGGTTCTAAAGATTTCAAGAATTTGGAGGAAGAAATAAGTTGCAGAAATTATCTTCAGTTTGCAGCTTGATTTACAAAGGTTTAAAATGCCCTTTCTTCCATAACTCAATTTAGTAGGCTTCTGACCTAGTCCTTTTTATGTACAGTCACCAATCTAATAATACTAATAATAGTTCTTAGGATCAATAAGGACACTCATTTATACTTCAGAATTCTAAATGAACCTTCATATTAATGAAGAAACACCTTTGGACTTAGTGCTACTGTTTGGGCTATCAGAGAAGATCTTAGCTTGTACTTCTGATAAAAACCAGAGATTCTCATACTTAGCTATTATTACAGTAGATTTAAAGCCCACATCTATCTGAACCAGATACAGCCAGAGGTAGAGAATCCATCAGCACAAAACTAGGTCTGTTCTTAATCATTTACATGTTCTCTCAAAGGCATATTACTTATAATCCCAAACCACAAATCTCTCAGGGCCCCATTCATGAAAGCAGAAAGTACCATTTACAGTACATAGGCTTTCCTGTTGACGAAAAATGTAATGTTTCTGAGAGAGAATTAGATTTGAGGCGAGCTGTTCGCCAGAGATTTTTAATGTGGTGTACAAATCCCTTTCAGCTTGCTTGGAAAAGCTTGTGAACTCACTGCCATCAGTCCATTAGGCTCAGGATTAAAAGCAAGCTTGAAATTGCAAGTTTTTATAGTTTTACATTTGAAGATTCCAGTATTCTATCAGTTTATCGCAGAACAAAAGTCCATTTGCTGTTCAGAGTGGTTTTTTGTTTCTGTTTGCTTGGTTTGCTGTTCCTTGGCAATTTCTCCATTGACTTTACATTAGGCTCTATGTGGATAGCATGCTTGGAAAGCTTCACAGAAAGAAACAGGACTTGTTAATTAAAAATAGATTTTAAGTTCTCACTGCTTTCGAAACAGGGTAAACTTTGTTACACCCCTACTTTAGCACATTGAATAGGAAGGCTGAACAACAAAAAATGGAAGTAATGTTACCAGTATCCATTCTACAGAACAGTTTGTTAGCACTGACCTTACCATCCAAGTCACAGATTTGACTATCCTCCTCAGAGAATACAGAAACTGCCTGGGTTGAGGCTTTCAAAGCAGTACAGGTATGTGAACCAATTGCATAAACTGCCTTGTAAACTTCTGTCCTGGATTTCAAGCCTTCTGCTATCACCCAAAGCAAGAAATCCAAACTTTCAAAAATCACAGAGCTGCCCAGACAGTACACTGAAAATGGAGCATACTCTGTCATGGATTTAGTTGTTTGTGTGTGTGCAGTTATGAACAGAGAATAATCCAAGGCATTGTCACTTTCTCTTTTTTAAAATCTGCAAATTCATTACCAAATAAATAAAGATGCTGTTGAAGATCATAACTGAATTGACCATAGACCACAAGGCTTCAGCACTGCACCTTTCCCTCCTGATAGTTCCTACTATTGTCAAATCACTGTCAATCTTCTCACACACAATGATGCCCAATTACAGTTAGAATGGTTTGTTAAACTTTACAGCACTTAGAAATGCTCTTGAGGCACCAAAAATGGCTTGATTTAGAATGGAACATATAATACCTGCCAAATTTGCAGGTTTGAAACCACTTCCAATAAGAATTAAAAAGGCCCTCTTCACAGTTGAAATAGGGCTATCAATACTTGACTTGTCTGCCCATATGAAATAGTGGGTTCTTTTCTCTGACGTCGCAATTTAGTTTAAAATAGCTTTGATGATGACAGGGTACATGGGAATGATAAAGCCATAAAGATGACAGCCTAATCTTCAGAGATGACGGATCGCTGATAAAAGATTAAGTAACGCAAGATTTGAAAAACCAGATTATCTGTCTGTTGGCATAGTGTCTGTATACACCTCCTGCTGAGCCATACTGAGAGACCACTGGCATGTAAAGATGCTACTTCTTATAGACTAAAAGTACTGTACAGAATATCTCCAACCTTTAGGTTAAAAGAAAAGAAAAAGAAAAAGAAAACAAGGACACAGCCAGATCTGAAATGGTGTTTTCTTAGCCAAACATGCAAACATTTGTTTCTCAGATCTGTAAGTATTTAGATGTGCAGCATATAAATAATTTAGAGACACCATAAAATGTTTAAAATAGTCAATTCTGCCCTATAATTACCACTCAAAGCTAGTCTGGCAATAGGTGGGTGATTATTAAACACCTTTTATAATCAGTTTTATGCACTATAATAAAAAAGGAAATTATACTTACAAGAATTATTAGACATGCTGGTCCTATAAAACTCCATATAAAGTTATTCTTTGTGCTGAGCCAACATCTGAAAAGTAAACAGCGCAGAATGGCTTGAAATGTGCTCGATTCCTGTGAAAACTACTCAACGTTCTTATACATATTAGTGCTTGAAATGCCTATATAAATAGCAACTTACACTTCTGTAGTGCCATAATATTTATAGCCCAGAGCTGCTGAAATTCCAACTACTACTGCTGGACTCATGTAGCCAAATATATAGAAGTTTTTGTGTAAGAATCCCTTGTTGTAGATGACTCCCACAACTATAAGGTACAGGTGTATGCCTTCAATGCACATCCATGCAAAGGCAGATAGGAGGAAATAATGGAGCAATCCAGCAGTGATTGAACAGAAGAGCTAGAAAAATCAACCAAAGAAAGCCAAAAGTCATAAATAGTAATTACTTTATTAATATTACCATATAGGCTCCCAGTCAGTTCTTTAAATCTTCATTACAAGGCATGACATCTACATGTGCATTAATGCGCCATTGTTATGGTGCCTTAAGTTTAATACCTGTAATAACAAGTACTAACTAAATGTGCAGTAACCAGAGCTACTGTGAAATACTGTTGGCACACACCTTTTTAGTGACACCAGTGTGCAGTAGACTAATTCTACTGTGCATTAGTGTAATAGCATGGCTTTTGCCATGATGTGCTAGTGTGCAGTAGAATCAGTCTACTGTGCATTTAGCGTCTTGTGTAGACATGCCCACAGGGCAGTATTATACTCCAAATTTAACCATGATTTACAAGTATGTGGCTTAGTAAAAAAAATAAATAACAAAAAGTTATCTGTTGTTCTTCTCTAGCAATTTGTAATATGCTAATAACATATTGGTAATATATACAATATACTTATATTTAATTATTAATTTTTTTAATTAAGCTGTGCACAAGTGCGAAGTCCTGCATTTGGGATGGAATTATTGCATGCACAAATACACACTGTGGAATGACTGGCTAAACTAGAGACAAGGGCCTGACAGCAACTGTAGCAGTGGAAAATTAGTTTGGAGATTAGGAAGAACTTTCTGACTATGAGGGTGGTCAAGATTTTGAATAGGCTACCTAGAGAAGTTGTGAAATCTTCATCCCTGAAAATATTCAAAAGCAGGTTAGACAGACCCTCGGCTGAGATGGTTTAGTCAGGGATGCTCCTGCCTAAAGCAGGATAACCCCATGAGGTCCCTTCCAGATTTACTTTTCTATGAACCAATATCTTGAACACAAATAAATCATGGATACGAATTGACACTATTTGTCCTGTAATTAGAGATAAGTAGTCATTATGCTGTGCTGACTTAAGCAACGTGCATTTTTAAAATTTTTTATTCCAATATCAAATTGCTGTTATTTCAAATGTCATTCTAAAGTTTATGGAAACTCTTTTAGGAAACAATTCTTGCACAATTATACTCCTCAGTGAATCAATACCAGAGTGCTGTCTCAGGGATATCAGATGATATTTTTCCAGCCAATTTAAAATACCATTCAGCAATACATATTATAGAAAAAAGATTAGTTTAAGCAACTATACTTTATTAGAATACCTTCACACTAATTTAAAAATAATAATAACATTTACTGTTTTACAATTATGTAGCATGTTTCATCAAAAATCACAAGGTTGCTTAATATACTAAAGACATTGACTAAAAAAGCCTTTTCACAGCTTTGTGAATTAGATTAGGGGTATGTAGAGATTATTTCAGCTACCCCTGAAATGCAACCAGCTCTGGTGTAGTGCACAGGAACACTAACCAGTGGCTTAGGGCAGGAAGTAAAGAATACTGTATAAATGACAGGAGTATTTTAGGTAGACAGAGGGTATGTCTACATGAGACATTAACTGTGCAGTCACCTAATAACACTGTGCAGTAGCATACTGGGCAAAACCCACAATAATACAGTACTGGGCAGTAGTATTAGGCTACTGCACAGTTAGCATCTATAAAAACTTGTGTGCTGGTGTTACTGCACAGTAGCACCAGTTACTGTGTACTGACTTAGTACTTGGGTATGCAAGTTAATACACAGTAACTATGGTGCAGTAATGAACATGTAGACACACCCAGAATATATCAAGATGAACTATAATCTTCCAAGGGTACAAGGATTAGCATCCCTAATCATGGAATCAAAGAAAATTAGGGTTGGAAGGCAGTTCAAGAGGTCATCTAGTTCAACCTCCTGCTCAAAGCAGGACTGTGCCCAATTAGATCATCCCAGCCAAGGTTTTGTCTACCCAGGTCTTAAAAACCTCTAAGGACAGAAATCCACAACCTCTCTGGGAGTTTCTACACCTTGCTTAATGCTCGGGTTACTGTGCATTTAATTTAGTAGAATCAACTACTAAATTAATGTGCAGTAACCAGAGTTACTGTGCAGTAGCACTGGCACATGCCTTTTTAGTGATGCTACTGCACGGTAGCCTAACAATATTGCACAGTAGTGTATTGGCACTGTTTGTGCTGTGATGTGCTACTCCACAATATTATCAGGCTACTGCACAGTTAGCATCTTGTGTAGACATGCCCCCTGGATACCCTGTTCTGGTACCTTATTACCCCCCTGGTGAGAAAGTTTTTCCTGATATGTAACCTAAATTTCCCATGCTGTAACTTAAGAGCCTTGTTCCTTGTTCTGTCATCTGCCACCACTCAGAACAGTTTAGCTCCATCCTCTTTGTAACCAGCCTTTAGGTAGTAGAAAGTGGTTATTAAATACCCGCCTCAGTCTTCTCTTTTCCAGACTAAGTAAACCCAGTTCCCTCAGCCTCTCATAAGTCATGTGCCCCAGCCCTCTAACAAATTTTGTTGCCCTCTGCTGGACCCTTCAATTTGCCCACATCCTTCCTGTAGATGGGGCCCAAAACTGAACACAGTACTCCAGATATGGCCTTGCCAGTGCTGAATAGAGGGGGATAATCACTTCCCTCAATCTGCTGGCAACACCCCTACTAATGCTGACCTGTATGACATTAGCCTTCTTCACAAAATGGGCATGTTGCTGGCTCATACACCTTTTATTGTCTACTGTAACCCTTTGTCTTCAGAGCTGCTATTTAGCCAGTCAGTCCCCGGTCTGTACTTTGTCCTCAGTTTGTGCATGGGATTGTTCCATCGTACATGAATGGTTTTGCACTTGTCCCTATTGAACTCCGTGGACTTTCTTTTGGTCCAATCCTCCATTTGTCTAGGTCTCTCTGAATCCTAGTCCTATTCACCAATGTATCTACTACTCTACCCAGCTAGGTGTCATCTACAAACTTGCTGAGGATGCACTCTATACCACCTTCCATCTGCTTATGTGCTTTGGGATCTGAAGTGACAGTGTGCAGACAGAACCTCAGTTCTGGAAGTCAGGGTTGAGGTGTTACCTCTTGCAATGGCTCTAGAACCATGCTGGGGCTTTGTTCAGTGACTTCCAGAGAAGAATACAATTAAATGAATCATCAACATTGCTTTGTGCAGCACCTAAGGGTGCATACAGATCTTACATTTAGATTGACTTGACCAGGATTAGGTCAGTCTAAATGCCCAATTGTGCAGGCATTCGGAAGGATAAAATTGGGCAAAAAAATGGCGCACCTGATCTAAATTAGGTCATTTGAGGAATTGTACTAACTTAGAGCAAGATCAGAGTATCCTGTTCTAGGAAAGGGTTAAACTGATGTTGTGAACACCTGCATTCACAGAGCAGCCCTGGGGCTGGTAAAACTCAGTTGCTCATCCCAGCCTCAGGGATATGCTATTTCCACCCTACCTCCACATACCCTGTTCTGACTGAGGTATTGTTAGCCCTCTGCCCTGGACTGGGCAACCCGACACCCCACAGACCTGTCAGTCCCTGCCCCCACCATATCTTGCCAACCTCTCTTCCCCAGACCTGCCAGCCTCCCTGATCCCACCCATCTCTCCTCCAACCTGAGTTACTTATACTAGTTTCTCATGAGGCTCCTGCAAGCCTACATAAGCTGTTCCTGGGATCAGCAGACTGCTGCACCCATGCCTTCCTGGTCTAGGTGTAGGTGGCTTAAAGTAAACCACCTACACCAAGACCAAGTGCAGAAAATGCTTGTTCACACTATAAATGATTTGTTGCAGGAAAAACTTAAACAGCTTGGATATAGAATAGTTAAAAAACCAAACACATCGGGGCCAGATTCTCAGTTAGTGTAAACTGATCTAACTGCATTAACAAAATCAGTTAGGCTGTATGAATTTACACCCACTAAGAATGTGGCCCTTTTTCTTTAAATAAAGTATGCTCAAAAGACCATTTTATTTTCACCATAAGTAACATATATAGTAGGAAGTTAACAGTACACCAATATTCATATTAACACTAGAAAACCTTGCATGCTATATGGAAAATGGTACTTTATGCTGTACATTTACTTTACATATGCAAAATGAAGAAGAAAAGGCTACGCACCTTATTATTGTTCATATTAATTCCAATAAGAAAAATAAGTTCTGCCAGAAAAAGGCTGCAGCAGAGATTTTTGTGAATTGTTGTTCTAGTACTTTGAATTTCACTGAAGAACCAGAAGGTAAAAATGCACATGGAGAGGCAAATCAAGGAAATAATTATTCCTAGCTGAGTGATTCTTGTAAGAATATTATAATTTGTAACATCCTGGGGGAAAATTATAATATAATGTTTAAGAGAATAGCTCTGTACTTTGTCAAAAAAGCTTCATTTGATAATACAGTTCCCTTTCCTTTTGTACAAAACATTAATCAAAACAGTTTGTAGGATTTCAGTGAACAAATGTACACTTCTGATAATCTAAAAAGTATTAGGTATTTTTAAGACAGATATAATATTTGGGAAAATATTAATACATTATAATATACATGTATTTTAATATTCTTACATTAACAATATGTTATTTTTAAATATACCATATTTATATTAGTATGTGTTAATATGATTAAAATTATGATTTGTTAGTACATAATAAATATATTTGCAATAGCAAATGTATTAATATAACCTGAAAAGCACTCATATAAAAGGACTCATTACTACATCAGTGATTTAAAGAGTGAAAAATGAATAACATTAGGGTCTCATTTGTACTGAATTTATGGCATGGTCAAAACAAGATTTTGAATTCATAATGGCTTAAAACAAAAGCTGGTTTGAGATACATAACATGGATATTGTCTAAAATATCATTAGCTCTTCTTAAATGATTATGTACATATATATTCTGTGCAGCACTATAGTTACATTTGCTGCTTGTATTCTGCAAAAGGAACTTCTGAAATACGTGACTGCACACCAGAATAAGGGCAGGATTCAGTTAGCCATAAAATGCATCTAAGTTTGGATTCTAAATACAGGCCTAGAGATTATCCTTCTTTTATTTTTAACTATGTCTAGACAGTACACAAGGCTCATATTTGAACTGAAGACTTAAGATGCTATTTAGCAAACAAACAGCAGCCTCTATCAGCATGAAGTACACAGTGGGCACATCTACACATGTGCCCGACTGTGTAGTTGTTACTGCTCAGTCATTTAGTACTTGCTTTAGCAGATTGTATGCTTGGAACAAGTTTTTTTGTTGCATTACTACTCTGTAATATTGTTGATGGGACATAAGGAAATTCAGACACATATGGTGGTGGGGGGTGGGTTGTTTTCATTCTGCATGATAAATTTGGAGTTTGAAGTTAGAATGAGAAAAAGAAATGATGGAACCAAAAGGAAAAGAAGTACTTCAGTAACTTTGAAAAGATATATTAAATGAGGATATGAACAAGTATCTGGTAAAATGCTAAGTGAAAAACAGCACTTACAACAGAGGCACCTGAAGACATCAAAACAGCAAAATGAGTCAGATGATTACACTTGCATGAGGTATGAGTAGCATTGGAATGTGTCAGCTCACAGCCTTCTGTGGACCAGTCACCATTCATTGTGTCTGCCGAGTAGTTCCAAAATGCACATTTAATATTTTTATCTGCAGTCTGGAGCAGAAACAAGATATTTTACCAATGGCAAAAGGCACAGAAATATCCCATCAAGAGACTCTTGTTACATTAGCCAGAACAATTCATTAAAAATTATATTTTACTAAAAGAAGGTTGTGAAACAAAAGACACATGCTGCAGGGTTTATTCTAAGCAATTAAAATATGGCACAGGACTGAAACACTCGATTCATCCAGTTAACACCAGACTAAACAAGCCAGGCTAATCCAATTACCATCGTTCCTGCTGCTTACAAAGGTGTTAGAATCTTATATCAACTGAGTATATATGCACACATTGAAATGCAGAAAACTGAGATTTGTCCTAAATATCTCATAAATAAGATTGTTAGGAAGGCATGGGACATTTGTAGGCCAATTTAGACTGATTGACATGTCAGGCATTATGCTGCTAACTATGAAGGCTATTAACCTGTAGGCACATCTACACAAGATGTTTACTGGGGAGCTGCTTAACTAGCTCCTTGGTACAGTCTTAACATCTACATGAGTGACCCTATTTGGCTGCAGGAAACTAATTAACTATGCCCCAGGTCAGTACTTGTAAATACAAGGACTATCCTGCAGTTGTGTTCTTTAGTGGACAGTAACACATATGTAGACACATATGTAGCTGGCTGGGGCACGAGACGGTGCTTTGGTGTGGGGCTGCCTGCATTCAGGTTACTGTATTCAAACTCTGCTCCCCTGCCCACCGTTCTGTTAAAATAGTTTTACTTCTTTGTTGACCTGACTCCGATTATTCTTTTACTATGTAGCCTATTGTTCACACAAAAGAAGACTAGAAAAATTGTGCATGTCAAACGATGAGCAAAGTTCTCATCAATCTTAAAGGAATGCTTATTGGCTCAGAACCAATGGCAATGTTACAGTGCTGTGCTGTAGGTTTTGCATTCACATCTGTTCAAACATGGTGCAACCTGATTTAGAGTATTTTTCCACCTTTTTGCATACCTAGTTCAAATAATTTAATGAGCTGTTGAAGAGGTTACCCAAATTCAAAATGGTAGGAAGCCAGAGGATTCTCTATGTGCCTTTATAACTTTTACTAACATTGCAGCTCAACGACTATATAATTATTACTGATGACCAGGGATCCGGGTTTTCCATTTCCCATGGAAAAACAGAGCAAAATGAGAACTTCCTCCTTCACCCAAGAAAAATGTGGGCTTTTCATTTTCATGGAAAAACCTGCAGATTTTGCACTTTTGCAAAGAGCTTTCTGGGGAATGGAAGGAGGGCAGTCAGGCAGGGGGCTCCATGTGCATGTATATGCACATGGCTGCCAGGCAGCCTGGGGAGCAGCTCCCACATGTATGTCTGGTGGGGAAAGGGTATTGAGGCCACCATAGGGAGGAGGGAGCGAGTTGGGCAGGGGTAGGGCCCAGGCTGCTGCCCAGCTGGGAGCAGCGTGGGGCTTGGGGCCCGAGGCCAGAATGCGCGGCTGCAGGGCCCCAGTAGGGAGAGGCACGGGGCCGTAGGCAGCTCATCTGGGGGTCTGGGGATGGGGCTGGCTCCCTGCCGCTGTGCACACTCTTGGAGGGGCAGTGGGACCAGTGACCCCCCAGATCTGTGTGTGGGATGCTGGCCCCACCCCTCACCCAAGCCTGTACCAGGAAGAGAGTGGGTTGGGGAGCCAGGCTCCATGCTCTGCTCTGTTGCAGCTGCAACTTCCTGCAGGTGGCAGCCAGGGCTTGGGCGCTGCTGTGGAGGGCAGTGGGCTGCCATTCTGGGTCCCCAGCCCCACAGTTCTGGCAGCTGTGGGCCACCTCCAGCGGGGCTGTGGTGGGCAGGGGGTGTGGGTGGAGGTTGAGAGGCACCAGCAGGGCTGGGGGCTGTAGCTTGGGAGTGAGGGGCCTGGATCTATGTTCTGTGAGCTAAGGGGGCAGGAGGAGCTTTGATTTTCCATGACAAAAAAACCTAAAATCAAATATTGAAATATATAGGTATTTAGAATTTATTTAATGGTAGTGATTGAGGCACTGGTAGGCTTCAAAATTACTTTAAAATTGTAAATATATCAAGAAAACATTTTGTTCAATTGATACCTATATATATATAGTGGCCTTTCATTTTAGGATTTGGGGGTTTTAAAATCATAATTTTAATTTTAGAGAATTTGTGATGTTTTATGAGAGAATTCATGGTTTTTTTTTATCAGGGAAAACCTGGATCCCTGCTGATGACATATTTCAACAACACTTTTCAATGGCAGGGCATTTAATATACTGCACATAGTGAGCCAAATTCAAGATTGTCATTTATTTTCTAATTAGACTAAATGGATATAAGCAAGTAATAGCACTATGTCTTAACACATAACCCAGTAGGTGTGTTACATCACATAACAAAATAATTAGCATGCTCTTTTCTTTTCTTCAGAAGTTGATTAAAAAAAAATCTTACCTTGACATACTTTAAAGTAAATGTGATTTTTTCAAGCTCATAGAGTGTAGGTGGATTTGAGCTAATTGCGACAGCTATAACTGATGAGCTTACTGTCTCTCTCTCCTCTGAACTGTCTTTCAATGAGCAGTTTTTAGATGATGAAAGCAAAGAGCCAATATTGCTATACCGCAGAAACACAACTGCAACAGTGCCTATCAATCAAACAGACCGTGTTAAGTAGTTTGTGGGGCTTTTTATAGTAGAACAAAATTGAAGACATTAAGGAAACAATAAACAATAGACATTATTACTGCCATTGCATAAAATATGCAAAACAGATAGAATCTTTGTGGAATATTTATAAAATGTTTTAGAGACAATGAAATATAGCTTTATTTAAAGCAATGTAACTTCCATTAGAATTAAAAACGTGTGTTCAAACTGAAAAGTCAAATAGGATACACGGATATATTTTCTGCAACAACACGTGCTTACTGCTGTACTACCTCAGGCTGCAAGTGAGGTGTTGCCAAATGAGGTGCTGTAAACTAAAATGAGTAAAATTCCTGTCCTGATGAAGTCACTGACTCCAGTGGAGCCAGGATTCCCCAAGTGGTCAGTAACTGGCAGGGAGACATATAAGGAAAAGAAGCCCATAGTGCTACAGGAAGAGGTACTGAAGAGATTAATGGGATGCGTCCTTTAGGGACAGTATTCAAACCAGTCTTCATTATGCTGTTAGGAATGAGATCTGGATTAGCTGCAAACAAGATTAACATCAAGAATGATAAGGTTGTTTTGCCAGTTTCGAATATTCTGGTTCTCCAATAAAATTCTAATTCATTATCATTACTGATAGTAATTATGCTACTATAGTAGTATTTCAAAATCCTGAACAAGACTAGGGCCCCACTGTTTTAGGCATTGCACAGATACACAAAAGTTTGTGCCCTGCGGAGTTTCCTTGATAAATGTAAAAGGCACACTAAAATAGGGCAGAGAAAGGGGGGCAGAGAGAGGTGAGATGGCTTGCCTTAGGTCACAGAGCAGTTCTATGGCTGAGTCAGGGATAGGAGCCCAGGTCTTCTAAGTCCCCCAAATGCTCTGCCCATGCACTTAGTCTACACTATCATTCATGGATAATTTAGATAAGCATGTTATCCTTCCAAAACAATGCAGTACATTATTTCAGCTGGACGCTACTTCTTGTCCTGAAGTATTGTAAAGTGGTGCTATTAAATGGCTGTAGTATTTCCACTCTGACTCATTTCAGCCATGTGTGGAGCTATTTGACATAAACGGCACAGCACCTGGTTAGGTACCTAATATGCCCAACATCACATTAGTACCTGCATGTGATACCATCACAATTAAATGGGGAAATTGTGAAAACAGCTGTGGGTTTCCAAAGGCATTGGATACAATATCTTTTCTGAGTGGTATTTTATTTATATGTTTACACATTGCCACATTTAGTTCAGTAGAGTCCCGGCAGCCTCAAGACTTATCTACTGCCTTGTTAATTTTGATGAAAGGGATAATTTCAGTGCGAGGGATGGTTAGGGATGGCGAGTTTACACTCCTGCTGGTCAACTAATACTATGCAGGTTAGGGTCAATTTGGATGGCTAGTTATAGTGCAGACGTGGCTTGGAGCATTTTTAACATCCTTACAGGCTTCTTTAGTTACCAAATACATAGAAGTTATTATGTTTACTTGCTTGCAAATGTACTTTACATTTGCCAGTGTGACCTTAGAAGAACTTTTTCTATAGTAAAACCTGCAAAAAAGCACTGTATCCATAAAAAAAAAATCTGGCAAAATTCAGAGGCATATTTTACCTCGCATGCCAGTAGAGGCAATGGTGGGATCCACAGTGAGGACTGGATGCAAGGCTTGAAGACTCCATTAAAAATGCCTTTCCTGGTGCTCTCCTGTTGTGCCCTATGTTGCTGCTCACAGTTAATAAATTCTACATCTGCTTTTTTGCCAGTGAGCACACAGTCATTGCATTTGTGTGCGGTGTGCTTCTTAAACCATGCTACAATTGGATAGCCTTTTCTTACCATTAGAGTTAGGTACTTCCTTTTTCTTTGGAGAGATCTTTATATAATCTGCTCCCATGTGAACATGGGGGTGAATGTGTTTCACGTGGTGCGAATCAAAAGCAAAAACCTTGAGTGCTGTAAAAGAAGAAAAATTCTGTGCAAATAGCAGTTCCATTACAGTCTAACATAATTTACAGTTAGGTTAATAAATGTGCCATTGGATTGCATAATTATTGTGAATTTTAAAAATATACCATTGTGCCAGATATTTCAAGAAGAAATGTTATTACTATAGTACATGTTTGCTTTAAACCTCCAGACTTTGTTATTCTTATGCATACATTTTGCTCACATACCTTTTATTCTTTCCATGAAAAAATATGGTCTTTTATTTACTTTGCATTAAATTAGGAACTGGAAAGAATAATGTAGGTTACTTTAGGAAGAGCTATTGCTTTATTAAAAATGTATTTCTGAAAGGGACCACAAATCACTGTTATAAAAAGCAAAGGATAAAATTCTCCACTGAATAGTAACATTTGATAAAAGCCAATTTTTGAAAAGTGAATATTTTACAGTTATCCATCCGTGATACCATATGCACATTGCACCATGAAATAATGATGTGTGTTGTCAAAAAGCAAACAAACAAGTATCACCCCTTAGGACAAAAACTACATTAGAGGACACCAAGCTCTTTACTTGGTTCGTTATAGTGCAGAGTTTCAATCACCCACAATAGGAACAAAAAAGTCAATCAGGCCTTTAAAAAACCCAAAACAAAACCCGCGCTCCTCCCCCCGCCCCCTTAAACTTGACTGATGGGCTAGAATCACTAAGCTAGACCATCTGCATTGCTTATAGCACAGCACACAAAAATAATATGAGCTATTCAATATACCAGCTGTCAGAAAATGTTTGTCAGGACATAGGAAACAGTTCTTCCTGGCTAAAGTTTTTAAGAGTTTGTTGCTTAAGACACTGCACCATAAAATGCAGTGGAGAGTGGGTGAGACATTTTTTTGTCACAAAATAAGTTTGTGGGAAACACATCAGCATTGCGGAAAAGTTGCTTTTAGTGCTAATAGCGGAAAAATGTCAAATGTTTAAGAGTCTGGGTCTAGTTTGGCTACGTACAAGGAAATTCACAGAGTTTAGCTAGAAGATGATCCATTTTTATTGAGGCTTTTCTCCCACCGATCCCAATAATTTACTTTATCACCAATACGTCTCCTCCCAACTGGCTTTCCACATTCCCAGTACTTGTGGTAGTAGATAGTTAGCTCTCATATATCTTTAGTATTGTCTCTTTAGATGCAAGCAGCCTCTTTGTATTATATTTGCCTTCCTCCAGTGTCCTCTAGTGAGCTGCCCCTATTTTTGGAGGTTGGCCACATATGTGATTAAAGCCAAACTGCAAATTATAAATACAACTGGCCTTCTGGGCTTCAGGACTCGAAACAAACCCTTGTTTTGTGAAATCTCTCCCTTCCTTACTTACCACAGGGACAGGCAAAGTTTCTGAAGCAAAAGAAGAAAACAGAGAGGAGGTTTTTTCATTACAGTGGTGCATTTTGGGTAGTGACTGGTAATACTGGATCATTTTGCATCAGTACAGGAAACCAGGCCAGTCAGACAGTATTTGGAAGGGAAATTGTATAGCTGGTCATAACAAAAAGGAAGACAGCAAAAGCAGTTCTTAAAAATGCTCAGCCTTGGCTTTACTCTGCTATACTCAACCCAAGGTTAAACATATTGCCTCAATATCACATATGGATTCAAAGCGACCAGACAGGTAACAACTAAGTGTTTTTTAAAGTGTTTTCATAAAAAGCATGCAATACAGAAAATAAGCAACACAGGGAGATGGCAGGATGGCATAATGGCCAAATTGATACCCTTTCCCCTTATCCTTATGTGAACTTTCCTGAAATTCAAAACACATTGTGCCATTGCCAACACAAGGTTCAGCTTGCAAGCAACCTGTCTAGTTCACATTGCTCTGTTGAATTATAAACAACAAAAAAGGTTTAAGTAGTTCTGGTAGTGGCTCAAATTTTCATTCTGTTTGGAATCTGTATGTGTGTTTTCGAGATGAACAGTGCTAAAAGCACTGTGAAATACGCCACCTTGTTCATGATTGCAAGCTGAAGTGGAAGAGGTATGGAGCTGAAAGCATGACCAAGTTACATTCTTAGGTGGTGTAAACTGTTCTACCTTCATTTAAGTGGATACATCTAGGCTATTGTTACTAGATGAAGATATGCCCTAAAGTATGAATGGTTGGGTTTGCAAATCTCATAAAAGTTAATACTTGTGGATTCTGCACAGTACCACTTCTTCTCTTAACAATCTTTGCTGAAAAACATTATAATTTGCATTAAGGTATTATGTAGATTGGTTTTCTTTTCTTGTACCTAGGTCACTTGCATTGACATCTAGCTGCATTGTCTTTTTGAAGTTCTGTGCCATGCGTAGTGTTCCTTGTTCCACAGCATGCATCAGCTTTGTGAGACTTTTTCTTTTGTTATCTGTAGGGAGTGCTTCCCAGACTGTAATTTTATCCTTTTGTACAAAATTGTTCATGGTGTTAACAAAAACCTGTCAGTATAAAAATATTTTTTTTAAGCGGAGGAGTTTTATACTATTTATAAAAGAAGAAAAACACAGTTGTAAGGCTCAAGCCACTTACATTAATAGTCACATTAGTAAGTGCTTCCTTGTCAGAAACTGTGTAATTCACAGTACTTAGCAATGGATAAGATACAGATAATGCTTCCACATATGAAATCACATCTACAGGTGAAAGTTGTCCTACAGTGCTCCTGTTGAATTCTTGTAGGACAGCCAGGGGTTCTTTTATGCTTCTAATCTGAAAGAAAAAAGAAAGCAGTATACACAAGATATTTAGCTATTAATTCAAGATGCAGAACCACAAATGACAATACAAGCTCATTATTGCTGTGAACTGGTGAGCAAGGGACAGCTTCTGACATTCCTACAGTCCAAAAGAGGTACTGAAGTCAATAGCACCTCCCTGGGGCTAATGTTGCTATTCACATTGATCACATTGATCACATTTGGCCCCAAGCAGAGAGACAGTTAAAGCATAATGCTAAATTAGTAAATCTTGTTCATTTGTTTCGATAATTACAGTTCTGTAATTCTTAACATAATGCTCTACACTGTATTAACAGGTGCTCTGCAGCTTATTTTGTAAAAATAATTAAGCCTTAGTAATATGTGTCAGCTTGACAGAGACTCTTCTATTCAATATTTGCTAAAAGATGGGAGAAGAGAGGTAGCAGTTTTTGTTAGTTTGTTTTTGTAATGTCGATTTATTCATTTATAGATTAGCAGAATTTTATCATATAGTTAAACCTCATTATTCAATGGCTAAAAATAACTAAATGACTTCAAAACTAAAATTATTCATTATTGATAATAATTATTACTAATTATCAATTAGATTATAATACTTTTTACAAAAATGTTTACATTAATAACGGCTAAGAAAGTTGAGGTTAGGTTATGATTTCGAATGCAGTTCCATGGTTGATTCAGCGAAGAGGGTCACATTTAATTATGTTAAATCTAATGGGGTTTATCCCTAAACATGGGAACCCTAATTAGATTGAGTAATTTGGAAGGATTTCTGTAGTTTTAGATGGTGGACAGCTTTTCATAAGCTTGGCATCATTGCTGGAGGCATCCTTGCAGAACTGGAAAATAGGCCTCTCACAGTTTATGACTTAACTCCGAACTAAAACTCTAGGACATGCTCAAGTTTACAAGCTAAAATTTAATGCATTAATTTTTAATATTTTGCATTAATACAAAATTTGAAGGATTTGGATTCATGGCTTTGACTCAGATTCACTGTATACATCTATTAAAATGTAAAAGTATTCAATTTTAAGACTCAGGTATTCTATATAATTTATACTAAACATTAATATAATGCTTCTTAAATTGGGTATGTAAAAAGCTTCTATCTTAAAAACATTTGAATCTGATACTTGAAACAATCTAATTCACATAAAATTTGAACATGTACACATTTGACCATGTACATATGCTTCACGTGATTGTGAGTCCCTTATCCAATCAAATCAGAATCCTATTGTTACGAGTTAATTTAAATTGCTTTTTGAAATCTGTGCTTCTGGGGAAAAATGTTTTTTTCCCTTGTCTTGCACATGCAACCTAACATACAATGTTTTGAAGGGAAAAAATATTGGTAACCAAGTGTATTATTGCTGCATTTTCTATTTTGTCACTTGTATACTCTGCCTCTATAAATAATCTGCCTAACTTTCATTCAGAACAAACCAATAACAGCACATAATTAAATGTAGAAAGGTGTAACTTCAAGAACTTGCCATTTGGAAATTGCTGAAAGATTACCATACTTCTGAATTCTACATGCAACATGAATTACTTTATTGGAGATACAAACAGCGTAAGGCTTTCAGGCAAATTATCACTGCGATTCAAATACACAGCCCATTTTAAATAAACTGGATCTATTAAAAAGACTTCTAAAACATGCTATATTCAACTGTATGTCTCAATCATTTGTTAAAACTTCTTATGAAACAATTGAAACAATGGTGTCAGAAAATTAAAAAAAGCATTTGCAAATCAACATATAAACTTAAGTTACTTACTTTAGCTAAGGTTCTATCATTATTTTCAGTTATACAGTCATCATATAACTCACAGTTTGCCCTTGGAATTGCTGTGGAAATCAAAATAAGATTAATTAAGTTTTGTAATAATGAACACACTCAGTATAACAGTTCTCATGGAAGCAACCCCTAAATCTACTGTCGTTAAACTTTTACACATATGCATTCAGCCATGAGCATAGACCTTTGAGATCTGATTCTGACCATTACTTACTATTTTTCCCAACTAAAATAACAGTAAGTCAAAAATGTACACATGTAAATAGGTACAGCATGATTGACTTTGGTGGAGTTTTTTCCGTTTATAGTAGCGGAGGAGTCTGGTCCACTGCTTCAAGTTTTACGCTGGCAGATGTGAGAGAAGTATCAGTCCCATATACTAGTATGCACTAGAATCTCATCGAATGTCAGGATGCATTTTCGAAACAGAACAGATTTCATCATACTGTTGAGCAAAAACATATTTATAGAAGGAACATCACAATTCTATACCTAGAAAATGTAGATGTGAATGCCTCGCCTTTTTTTTTTACTTCTAGATGATTAATCTAACTGACGATAAAGAGACACTGGTGGGTTTCTCAGAATATGTAGTTCCATAATAACACATAAACCTTTATAATATCATTTACCTTGGCAGGAAGTGCCATCATTTGGCTTAAACTGTAATTTTCCTGTGGATGGTTGATAACCTTCCTTACAAGAGCAGTTATATCCTCCATCCACGTTTTCACATTTCGCATGATCTCCACAGGCAACAGTTACTGCTTCGCTGCACTCATCTATATCTGCAAATATCGTGAGAAATTGAATTTTTTATTAAGTATTTACAGACTAACACCTTGCTGCCTTGTTGATAATAGCCCTGCATACTGCAAGCAATTTCATATCAAAATTTCATAAAAAAGCAAGGACGTAAAAAAGCCAAATTTAATGGCAAAATATCTAACAATTATATCACTTAGGGCTTGGTAGGATAAATGATGGTGAAGCCTATCTTTTAAAAATAAAATTTTAATGTCACCAATAAACATTTATAAGATATTGTTCAAAGAGAAGCTGCTGATTTGTGCATACGCATAATAAGTTTATGTGAATTAAAAATAACTTTTATTACTGCTCACATTGTATTGCATATTTTAAAAATAAAAAATAATTCAATAGTAACAAAACATTGGACTCTACATAATGAAAAATATCCAATATTTATTTTTCTACACATTACCCTAGAAAGGTTGTCATGCCTTTACTATTTAGTTATAGAAGAGAAAGGAAACTGCAGCTGGGTTTTAAAGTAAATACATATGATTTTAGTACTTCAGGAGATCAGTCTGATTGTCTGATTAATCTAATATTTAAGTTGTGTGTTCATTAAAATGCTTGAAGTATCTATTTAGACACATTTCAAATTAATTTCTCTAAAATTGTTGGTGCCATCTCATTAAGTTATAGTTGTGTTGGTACATTCAGCAACTGAATTGGTTATAGTTGGGTAGGTACATTCAGCAATTGAGCTGAATGGGTAAGGGTGGATCTGAATATTACACGGATGAATTATGGGATGGGAATCTATAAATTTTGAATTCTAGGGCATGATGCAAATAAACATAATGGGAAGGGGATGAGGGTCCCACACTATATTGGCTGTCTGGAGGTGGAGGTCAAAGATTTCAACTGACATACTATGGAGGTAAATGATATGGAATGACTCTTGGGACTGGAATATTACTCTATAAAATGATATGCTGGAGATGAGGGAAGAACTGAACAGTGTGAGGTAGAAAACAGTTAAGATACTATGTTAGGTAGGTTCAAGGGAGAGTATATGCAGTGAAGAGAATGAGTGGTTTTGTGCAGAGTGGACTTTAGGCAGCAGAAATTCAAATAATGAGGAAGAAACAATGCACATCAAAAGGCAGAAAGGTTCAGCTTTAAGGATCAAGCATGAGGCTAAATGGCTTTTATCTGCATTATGTTGATAGTTTGTTTCCATATTTAATTAAAAAATTATAGACATTTGTCTCCAGGATACTGTCATTCCTATTTACACAGTTTCTATGATCTGACTGCTGTAGTGTCAACCACGTAATATTCTAGTAGATTTGATAAATGTGAGAGAAAGGAATGAGCAGTACAGTATGATACAGAGCTACACAAAAGTTAAATCATAATCAAAGCTCTCACTTGAGGACACTGGGCTAAAAACTCTAGTCCTGGCACTTAAATAGGCCACTCACATCATTTAATTGTATGGCTGTTTTTTGAAGCAAGCTTTCTCTTAGTGTCACATTATGTGACTCAGTGTAACATAGATGCTCTTTGATTAAAGTGAAGTGCCAAGGGTGAGAAAACAATGACAACACTAGTTTGCATAATAGCGGCACAGATCAGGTTTACCACCAAAGATCTTCTTGGCTTTGTCACATATTTAGAGAATGATTCACAGGCCCTAACAAGTTCTCCAGCATGTAGTTCACTGCTAAACATCAATAAGGCTAAGTACAGCCATTCAAAAAGCTTGAGACTGAATTGATTCAATCTTTGCAGGCTAGTCTAACCTGCGTAGATTGAATCGGCAAGCAAGTGAATAGACATTCACGTTTAATTCTGGAAATGCAGCGACATGCCTGTAGTTTTTTCATAGATTTCATAGACATTAGGGCTGGAAGGGACCTCAGAAGATCATCGAGTCCAACCCCCCGCCCAAAAGGCAGGAAGTCAGCTGGGGTCATAGGATCCCAGCAAGATAAGCATCCAATTTACTCTTGAAGGTGTTCAATGTAGGTGCTTGAACTGCCTCCGATGGCAGGCTGTTCCAGACCTTGGGGGCTCGGACAGTAAAGAAATTCTTCCTTATGTCCAGCCTGAAACGGTCTTGCAGTAGTGGCTTAGGTCAGAAGCTGTAGGGTGCTAAAGCAGCCCTCCTTTACCTTCCACAGTGGCCAGGGGAAGCTGAGATGAGAAAGGGGGCATGGTCAGGCCCTGGCAGGCCTGAGTATGATTGGGGAGTGGTTTAAACCTTCACCCTGGCCTGCAGAGTAGGGAGGAAGGACTGTGGCCAGACTCTGGCCCATGGTCAGGTGCCCAGCATGGCCCCCTAAGGTGAAGGGGGCAGGGTGGGGATTTATTCTCTCCTCCCTCCCCTCTCCCCCCAGGGAGGGGCACAGCAGGGGCACAGTAGCCCCTGTCATAGTCCCTCCCCCCTCACTGCTCCAGGGGTGGGGGCATGGCCAGATACCCACTGGCATGGGCCCCTGAGGTCCCCTCTCCCACTGGAGGACCCCAGCTGGGGTCTTCCAGCCCCAACTTCTGTCTCCACCACTTGCCCCTGGCCAGGCAGATCCTGGCTGGGGTCCTCTGGAGGGAAAGGTGAGGAAGGGTGGAATACACTCCCTCCCTGCCTCCTTTGCCTCAGGCGGACATGCCAGTTAGCATTTGGCCATGCCCCTGCCACTGAAGCAGTAAGGGGGGAGGGACCCTGACAGGGGTAGCAGCCCCTGTTATGGTGTCCTGGGGAGCGCAAGCCTCATCTTGGTGGGTGGGAGTGGGGGCTGTGCTGCGGGTAGAAGCGGGGTGGGCTAAGCTATTGGAGCCTGTGCAGGGAAAGTGGAAGTAGCAGGGCTTGGAGGGGTGGCTATGGGGGCTAAGCCAAATTTTGGGGTGGCCATGGCTGGGGGTTTGCCTGGCTGGGGGCAAGCAGCAAAGGCAGTGACTGCAGCTGGCAGACCCTGGCCTCAATCTCCTTGTGGGAGAGGGGAAGGACAGAGTGGGGAATATACCCCCTCCCTGCCCCCTTGACCTCAGGGGGCCATGTCAGGCTGATTTCTGGCCTTACCCCAGCTTCTGGAGTGGTTGGAGTCACCAAGGGGAGAGGGGAGGGAGTGGGAATAAAGCCAGAGCATGGGTGGGGGCATGGCCAGATGCCAGCCCAGCAGGGCCCCTTGAGGTGAAGCGGGGAGGGAGGGGGAATAAATCCTCCCTGCCCCCTTCACCTCAGGGGGCCACGCCCGCACTCCTGCTCTGGCTAGAGAGTAAAGGGGCGGGGCAAGCCCTGCTCTCTGGAGCAGATAGCACATCCCAGCCCAGGGCTGAAAAGCATGCTGGGATGCTGGGGGGCTGGGATTTAACTTAAACCAGGAAGGGGTCAGGGACAGAAATTCCATTAACCAGCTTGACCTCAATCTTTCTAAATTCAGCCAGGTTTATCTTAAACAAGTTTTGGCCATTTTGTTCCATTACAGGTTTAAGCCAGTTTCTGATCACTTAAACTAGTTTATGTGTAACTTCTCCCCCTAGCCTGAATGCCAGCAAACTTCATTACAACCAGTAATGTATCTGGGCATAGGCTAAAATAATCTATTAAGTTTGGTTTTAAATGGCATTTGAAAGATGTTTGGTAGCAATACTAAAAATTGTAGAGCTATGCATAAATAAATATAGAAAAATTTTGGAGAACTATACATAAATTATTGAATGCATTCCAATTGATTGTTACTAGCTATCAGTTACTATTGCAACTATTTTGAAATTATTATGATCATGCAATTCATAAAAAACAATTTGGTAAATTGTTAATTTATCATTATTAGGCTTTCATGTGCATTATCTTTCTTTTTGTGTTGTTACTTATAATGGGGTTTAAAAAGGCAGGATTATCCAAACAGAAGTACAAGATTATGTACTTATAATATGACTGGCAAAAAGGATAGCTGGCTTGATGGGGGCACTCTTCAGTATGGTATAAGCCATAAAGATGTCCACAAGTAAGGTGAAGAGCCATTTATATTGTGCAAAGGGCACTATTTGCCAAATCATACTTATTGAAGACCCTGCTTAAATCAGCTTAACCATGCCTGTTAATTCATGCAGGCACAATCTGCTCTCAGCTGTTTCAAGCTCATTAAGGCTCCTTATATTGTTATTTACCCCTAACCATGGCCTTGAAATTGACAGGACCTGCAGTTTCAGGGATGCTAATAGCACTGCAGTGACAAGCAGCTGAGCTGGGCTAGAAGCAATAACTGCCCACCCCATGTCAGGCATTTTTCTGGTTTCAACTAAGAATGTATATACAATCATATCAACCTGATCTAATTCTGGAGAGTGTTTGCTGGAGAAAATAAATGCGGGATAACACAATGAAAAAACATATGGTTTTGAGCACTTTCATATTGATTTTAAATCAATGAGATTAGGGGTGGCAGAGTATTGCTTTTAACAACATAGGTTAATAATGTCACTTGACATTTCTCCTTTACTTTGTGCAGCATCTCAAGCCTTTTTGGTATTTATTCCATTTTAAATGAGTGTAAAACATTAGGACCATGTAGGAAACAACCATCTGTCAGCACTTTCAGAAAGCCAGCCATTTCCACATGAACCTTAGACCTCATTCTTTTACTCATTATCTTTAATGGATACAGAATTAGGCCCCAAAAGCATATTATAAATCAAGTAAGCAGTCTTCAGTGAAAATGTTCAAGAGTAGGGTTGGAGGGTGGGGCTCTTTAAAGAGAAAGTTGTCATGATCTATGAAGAAAGCTTCCTCAAACAAATATTCAAAATAAAATCTGAAGCTGAACTTTAAGGAAAGGGGCAGGAAACACACAAACCAGTATAAGTGATTGGTTCAATTCTGTAACACAACAGAAGTTCAGTGCACATAAACTGATTTCAGAAGGCTGAAACTGTCTTAAGGTAAACCTGGATAGATGTAGCATTAGACTTAACTGATTTAGTTTAAATCAGTTTATTGAACTTCTGTCTTAGATCCTCTCCAGATTCAAGTTAACTCACAGTCCTCCACAGGATGCTTTGAACCTACTCTACAAACCCCACCTCACAGGGTGGGTGGGCTAGCTTTGGCTCAAGCTTTCTGCTCCAGCTGAGCAGAGAAGTGTGGTTTAGCATCCTGTGGCTTCTGACCTGGGCCACTGCATGCATGTGGCTGCATTTCTGGAATCAAAGGTGAATGTCTGTTCACTTGCTTATCAGTTCAATCTATGCCATTTAGACTAACCTGTGAAGATTGAAGCGAATCAGCCTCAGGCTTTTTCACTGTCTGTACTTAGCTTTAAGCTCTGATCAGAAAGAAATATTAAAGGAAACCCCTTCCAAATACTAACACCAGTATCATTTAGTGAGTGTGAAAAGAGATTGATAACCTTTCATTGTAAAAAGCAGAAGCTTTATTGTCACTCCTCATTTATTACAGCAGGCCAGGGAATTCCAATTAATATAAAAGTAGCGAGAATAGTTATTATATTCAGTCTTGCCAATTACTGGATCATACCTCCATTGCTTTGATTCTCCAACAGCCAGTCAAGACAGCTTGATGTCTATAGCATAAAAACTGCTTATTAATGGCTCCCAAGGTATTGAAAAGTCCATTTGCAAGGGATTAGATGTTCCCATTTGTTTTACAATGTGAGAGATGGCAGTATATGCAGAATAGATATGAAAAGGACTTGAAAAGGAGATACACAATGTGGCATAATACCATATTCATGCACAAATGACACCATGGCATTCCATGCTGCAAACTGAACAGAAGAGCTATAAGAGAGGATAGGTGGTAAGATAAGCTCAGGGAGGTATGTGATAACATATTCCCAAATGTTACAGCAACTTCGTAGCTGTAAGGTGGGGATGTCCAATTCATTTTGTAGGGGGGCATTCTATTTGTATCCCCTTGGGATAGGATTGAACTTAAACACATCCAGAGATGTGTTAAGCCACAATGTTCTGTGGTTTTTGATCCACTAAACACTCAATACAGTCCAAAGATCAAAGGCAGAATATGGCCTTTACATGGTAAATTAACTTGTAGTTATTTCTCATTTAACTTACATTCAGCATTATAGTGGGAAAATGACCCCATCTTTAGAACCACAGTTTTTCTACCTTGAGTTTCTCTGCCTTTCTTACTCTACTTGGTTTCTCCCCCTTTTTTTTTCCTCTTGTGTTGCTGTTATTTTCTTAACTTTGTGTTTCTACAGAAATCTCCAGCTTTTCCTCTGCCTGTGTATGCTGCTATCACTTCTTTGCCTATTCTACCTGATAAAATGATCATTGGTGAAATAGGTGAGGATGAGACAAAATTCCACCACCAGTTTCTAGAATGAATACCCAGTGGGCAAGTCGACATGTGCCCCCGACTGCGCAGTTGTTACTGAGCAGTCCCAGTAGTGCATGGGTCATTTCTGACCCTACGGTGTAGTAGCAATGAGCTTGTTGCTACTGCGCAGTAGCACTGGTGTCAAGGTTTGTGCTTGCCGAAACTGTCGCCATAGCTCATTGCTATGGCAACATAGTGTCTCGTGTAGATGTGCCCTGTTAAATTAATGGATGAAGAAAGAACTTCCAGGCTGCCTTGAGAACCAAACTCAGTGCTGATAACATGCTTCCTTCACATTTCAATCTTAACATCACATCCAAGAATTATATTTTCTCACTTTTTTAAAAAAAAAGGTAACATTGCTAAGAATCTGAATACATCTCAGGAACACACAAATACACAACGTTTATTGGAAGTTCCACCATTCTGCTCTAGTGCAAGTTACACAGCTAGACTCATACATGGTAACCTACACTGTTTCTTTCCTGTTTCTTTCTTATTGTAAAGTTAGTTTCTGCTCCAGAGGCTTATTCATGGGCATAGTAGTAGGGAATGGGTTACTGTCTGCATATAGAAAACATGTCTAAGACCTTCCCCTTTAGTAGCAGATCTGAATGAGAACAAATTCCTCTATGGTTTCTTTGATTGATAAACTGCAAAATTAACTGAGGAGTAAGGGGTTGTGTTCAGGATATGTCTCCTTTCCCACCTGACAGTGTAATTTGTACCAATATTTAATGGGATGAAATGCCACAATAAATTTTTTATTTTAACATACGTTTTTAAAACCTGTCAGCTCTCCCCACACTGATTTGCACAAAAGCCCACTAGAAGATGACAAAAGAACCTGCAGAGTAAGGAAAAAAAGGTTAAGAATAAGAAATTAGCAGTCAACAGCATCCAAATGGTGAAAAAGTAAAGAAATTGTAGGCACCATCAAGTGAAACAACTTTGAAGACAAGATTTATGAAGCCCAAGAAATGTCATAACTAGTAAAAATCAAGACATCTTCTAGAATCAGGTGAATTGAAACAGCTCATTGTGCTAACAGTGTGAATCCCAGATAATTCAAGAACAATTCATAACTACCTGGTAAAGTGGAGACATTATATAAGGATGTGAGGAATATCAAAGAAATTTTGATTAAATCTCTTTTTAGCTTAATATGCAACCATACTGCTGATATTAGGAATAGTAAGAAGATGAAAGATTGTCAGGGCTGTCAAGCTTACAGGAGATATATTTGGAACTAGACACAATCAGCACAAAGGTGTAAAGAGGCAATGGATTTATTGCTTGTTTTCCCATTCCCTGAGGAATATCACAGCACACAAAGAAAATTACCAGCGGATTGAAAAAAGAGAAATAGTTACAATTCTTCCAATGAAGGGCAATCCTTAAGGACTGCACAATTGTTCAGAAATAACATTTTCCCAGCGACCCTTTTCTGACCTGTAATCCTAAATGTGATCTATCAAACTGCTAGAGAGGCAGAAACTGATGGGCTGTATGGAAGGTAGGATAAATACTGATTTTACTTATTACCTTAAACCAGACTGGAAGAATTAGCAGAAGATCAGGAGCATTTTGTAATATTTGCCGTAATCTGGCTTTGCAGCAACAGCATGATGGGACAAATCTAGAAGCCATTCTCTGGCCCAAGTTCAGATGAGTGTGCTTTTTGCTGAGCTCTTGCTAACTCCCTTCTAACCTGTTTCTTAGTATGCGGACTTTGATGGCAGGGCCAGGACATAATGTCATATGATGGATGGAATGAGAGGCCAGCCTTCAGCCATACATTTATATCTACCATGTTTACTCAAACCTAAGATGACTCTGAATGTAAAACAACCCTCCAATAATTAGTTTTTATATATAGAATTTTTATAAACTTGTTATAATTTTGCAGGTATAGAATGTAATTATTGGAGGGTTGTCTTAAATTCACCTCCCCTCCTCGCAGCTACAACAGCAGGGAAAGCAGTATCTGGGGGTGGGGGGAGGCGGGGGGCTCAAATAGCCCCCTTGCCCTTGACCCCCCTGCACTTCTTCCCCCTGAAGCTTTCCTGCCCCCCCCCAGTTCCCTACAATCTGTCTGTCTCTTTCTCCACACCTCCCCCCAGGATCTGTCCCCCCATCCACTCCCTACAGTCTTTGTGTCTCCCCCACATACTCCCCAGAATCTCTGCCCCTTCCCCATCTCTCCCTGCAGTCTCTGCCTCTTCCCCTACCATGTGTTGTTTGATTGGGGGGTAAAAATCCCCTCATCTTAGATTTGCGTAAATATAGTATAGCTATGTACAGTAATAATTTCCTGCATGTTTGTGCATAAGGTTGAATGTCATTTTCACACTCATTACACACACCCATACACAAATATATATTTTATAAAGCTACTGCATTTAAAAGTTTATTGAGGTTAATAGGAGTTACAGTCTTTTGTTACTGAGAGCTACAGGCCTGATTTGGAATACCATGCCTATATCAGGCTTGAATTAAAAGTAGTTCATATCCTGACTCTAAACTCCACAGATCAGACCCCTCTGAATCCCTTTTACTAGATTTCTCTAATTACCAGAAGGACTAGGAAATGAGTGACAGTTTAAAGCTACCTGGATGACATTAGAAACTTACCTACACAGGAAGTTCCATCATTAGTTACAAATTTCTCTTGACCACTGCTGGATCTGAAACCAAGTGTACACATGCAGTAATAACTTCCCACCGTGTTTGTGCAATTGGCATTCTCCCCACAAGGCTGAGTAGCATTTTCACATTCATTATCATCTGTCAAGACATAAATTATAGAAACATCATTTATTAATAATTAATTTATTTATAAATCATAAATTATAGAAAAATCATGACGTGAGTGGAATAACAGAAACTTGGTGGGATAGCTCTCATGACTGGAGCACTGTCATGGATGGGTACAAACTGTTCAGAAAGGACAGGCAGGGGAGAAGAGGAGGAAGAATTGCACTTTATGTAAAAGAGCTGTGTGATTGCTCAGAGCTCCATTATGAAACTGGAGATAGGCCTGTTGAAAATCTTTGGGTTACAGTCAGTGGGGAAAGCAACAAGGGTGCTGTCATAGTGGGTGTCTGCTATAGCGATCTGCTGCTCAAACACAGGAAAGAACTGGTGGAGAATGTAGCAGTGGATGGCAACTTGAGCAGCAGCGACTATGAGATGATTGAGTTCAGGATCCTGAGGAAAGGAAGGAAAGAGAGCAACAGACAGTATGGACCCTGTCAATACTGACTCACTCAGGGAACTGATTGGCAGGATGCCCTGGGAGGCCAGTGTGAGTAAAAAAGGGGTCCAGAAGAGCTGGTTGTTCCTGAACGAAACTTTACTGCGGGCACAGGAAGAAATCATCTCAATACTAGCAAGTATGGCAAAAGACCAGCTTGGTTTAGCAGAGAACTCTTCAGTGAGGTAAAGCACAAAAAGGAAGCTTACAAGAAGTGGAAACTTGGACAAATGACTGGGGAAGTATATAAGAGTGTTGCTCAGGCTTGCAGGGATGAAATCAAGGAGGAGTTGCAGCTAGCAAGGAATGATTCTAACCCTAACAAGAAGGGTTTCTACAAGTATGTCAGCAACGAAAGGAAGACCAAGGGAAGAGTGTATCCGTTACTAAATGTGGGCAGGCAACCTAGCGACATATGATGCAGAAAAGGCTGAAGTACTCAATGCCTTTTTTACCACAGTCTTCAAAGGCAAGATCAGACTCCAGATTACTGAACCTAGCAGCACAGTTTGGGGAGAAGGTGAGCAGTCAGCACTGGTCAAAGAACAGGTTAGAGACTATTTAAACAGCTGGATGTGTACAAGTCCATGTGGCCAGACACAATGCACTTAAGAGCGCTGACAGAGTTTGATGCTGTTATTGCAGAGCTGCTGGCCATTATCTTTGAAAATGTGTGGCAATCAGGAGACGTCCCACACAATTGGAAAAATATAAATATAATGCACCACTTTAAGACAGGGGAAAAGGAGGATCCAGGGAACTACATACTAGCTAGCCTCACCTCAGTCCCTGGAGAGGTCATGGAGCAGGTCCTCAAGGAATCCATTTGTAAGCACTTGGAGAAGGTGATTAGAAACAGTCAGCGTGGATTTACAAAGGGCAACCTGGCCAACCTGACTGTTTTTTATGATGAGATGACTGGCTCTGTGAATGAGCAGGGAGCAGTGGATATTATATAACTTGACGTTAGAAAGGTTTTTGATATAGTCTCCCATTCTTGCCAGCATGCTAAGGAAGTATGGGCTGGATGAATGGACTATAAGATGGATAGAAAACTGGCTGGTTGTTAGGCTCAAAGGTAGTAATCAATGGCTCAATGTCTACTTGGCATCTGGTATTGAGTGGAATCGGGGTCAGTCCCGGGGCTGGTTTTGCTCAGTATCTGTATCAGCGATCTGGAAGATGGGAAGGTATGCATGTTCATGCAAGATTGCAGATGGGGGAGTAGTTAATATATTGGAGGGCAGGGCTAGGATTCAGAGTGATCTAGACAAATTGGAGGACTGGGCCAAACAAAATCTCATGAGGTTCAACATGAACAAATGCAAAGTCCTCCTTAGGGTGGAACAATCCCATACACCAGAACAGGCTGGGGACTGGCTGACTAAGCAGCAGCTCTATAGAAAAGAACCAGTGGATAAGAAGCTGAATATGAGCCAATGTGCCCTTCTTGCCATGAAGGGTAACAGCATACTTGGTTGCATTAGTAGGAGTGCTCCCAGAAGATTATCCCCATTTATTTGGCGCTTGTGAGGCCACATCTGGAGTAGTGTGTCCAGTTTTGAGCTCCCCACTACAGTAAGGATATTGACAGATTGGAGAGAATCTAGTGGAAGGCAATGAAAATGGTTAAAGAGCAGGAAATATGGACTTATTTAGTCTGAAGAAGAGAAGTCAGAGGCAGTTGAGGGGAGTGGGATGAGATTTAATAACAGCCTTGCACTACCTAAAGGATGGTTCCTA